AGATTCCAAATATGTTTTCCACATACTTATATCCCATGCAGCAATTTGGAAAGAAAGGGGATTACTCAATACCAAAGGCAACACCATAACGAATTCTGCCCTAATAGACAAGCTCCTTGAAGCCTCTCGGCTACCCGCACGGTTAGGGGTCTCCCTTTGCAAAGCACATCAAAAAGACACAGTGCGCCGCTTGGGAGTGTGGTGGCGCTCCCGCCGAGGGTTCGGATCCCACATACAGACCGGTTCCCGCTCACTGGCTGAGCGAGGTGTGGGAGCAACACCGAGGGTTGCAATCCCGTTGCCGGTCCTGGTCCGGTACGGGCGCGACACTGAGGGTTGCGATGTAAATGTATGCTTCTCCCCTGAATAAAGCGGAACTTCTCCGGTGAACTGTCAGCTCGGGTCCTGTCGTCCTTTCAGGCAAGGCCATTATAGACAGTAAGAACAGCAAGAGCTAAGGTGAAAAGAGAGGGAGCCAAGACAGAAAGACACAGGATTTATTCAGAACAATGGTACTTCAACTTTTTGTTCTCAGAATCCTTTTACACTCTCAAAAATTATTGAGGTTCCCAAAGAGATTTTACTTATATGGATTATATCTATTGGTATTCACTGTATTGGAAATTAAACTAAAAAGAAAAATTAAAAAGTTATTGTATGAGTTTCCTATTGCTGCTGCATCAAATTACCACAAACTTACTTGCTTAAATGTCAGAAATTCATTATCTTACAGTCCTGTAGGTCAGAAGCCCAAAATGGATTTCACAGGGCTAAAATCAAGGTACCCACAGGGCTGCATTCCTTCTGGTGGCTCTAGGGAAGAATCCTTTTCCTCGCTTTTTCCAGTTTCTAGAAGCTGCCTGCATTCCTTGCTCATGACCTCCTTATATCTTCAGACAACAATCAGATCACTCTGACCTCTGCTTCCATTGTCACATCTCCTTCTCTGACTCTTTGCCTCCTGCCTCCCCCTTTTACTCAGAAGGACTCTTGTGATTACACTGGCCCCACAAAGATAATATAGGATAGTCTCCTCATGTCAAGAGATACTTAATTGTACCCACAAAGTCCCTTTTGTCATGTAATATATTTACAGGTTCTAGAGATTAGGAGAATGTGGCCG